GACACCGCTGCAGCTCTCTCGATGCACAGAAACGGTAGGTGTAGGACAGGCCGGCGCAAGCAAAGCACATGTCCGTTGCCGCCCCAGGCAACGCAACACGCAGGACACGGCTGATAGGCGTTTCTTCAGACAAGTATGAAGCTTGTTTGATCAATGAAGCACCACTCAAACACTGGGCTTTGTAGTAGGGTGTCTGTCTGTTCTTGACGTAAGATATTCTCCTGCAAGTTCGTTTACAGATGATGATGCTCTAAGAAAGGACTAATACACGCCGGAGGAGGATGCTCACGGGGCCGCCTAAGATACACGCCGTTTATGTACTAGCCCAGAGCTTACAATTCAAAAGCGAGGGCCAGTCCGTGCTGTCGTCCATCCAATCCTCCTAGACCCTCTCCTCACTGGCTGCTTGGAGCAGACGCTCTCAGCACTGCCCCTGGCAACTAGTAACTGGCAACTGGCAAGCAGCTCGGCGCTTCGGTCGTAGATTCGCGGGCTTGGAGAAGGCTTCAGGAGATCCGGCTTGATCTGCACATGATTGGAAGCGCGGGAATGGAGGCCCGACATCAACTGTCCAACCGCTAGCGGAGTATAAATCCATCTGGACTACCAACAGTCTGAACTGATAACCAACAAACCGCATACCCCATGACAATGCAGCCTTTCTTAAACTTCTGCATGCGATTTGATTACATTGTAAATATTCATGTAGCCGCCCAGACCCTTAAACAACATGACACCGTTGGGCAATGTCTCGCGGTAAATCAGTGCCTACAAAGTGTGTGAGTTGGCCATTTCGGAGCCAGCGCCTTCAAGAATGGTGTTTGTGGATTCGCTCAAAGCAACCATCTTGCTGCCTGTGGTGACGACGCAACCTCAAAACGCCAGAACGCAAGCAGTATGCTAATTGTAGACAAAATCGTATTGCCAAGTGCTGATAACGCACTGGTAGCCATGATCATCTCCGGAGACTGTCCAGACGTGCCTGGAGGTCATCATCACCAGGATCTCCACCGCCGCTGCCAACCGCCTGTGCAACTCTTCCTTCGGGGACGGCATTCGACTGCAAGCCAGAGGGCGTCTCCCCGAGCTAGTACATGTCATTAGTACGGAATTGGAGTATTGTAGGTCGCGGCAAGAGCTCACAGATTGACTGAGATCCACACCGATCTCCTCTAGCACTTGCTCCACAACCTCGTCACCCTCCTCCTCGACTCCGACATCCATCGCATCGTCGATAGCATCGTCCATCATCTCTTGCCTCTGTTCCATGATATCATTCTCGCGCTCGAACTCCATGGCGATTCGCTGCAGCTGCGGTAGGTTCATCGACTTGTTCATGCTCCCTAGCGCCACCGTGGCGCCCTTCATGGCCTGCATCATCTGCTCGTTTGTCCGATATGTCTGCAGACGCAACGAGATCTTCTGAAGCTGGCTGCGCATGCCGTAAAACTTCTCAATGTACCTCCGCGTGCGGACGAGGTCCTTGGCCTGGATCTTGGCGGCGCCCATCTGCCCCTTCTGTGCGCTCTGTTTGATCTGGGCGACCAGTGTCTTCTCCTGCTTCTCCAGCTTCGCGCGGACCTGGTCGAGCTCGCGGATTGCCTTGTCTAGTGATCGCTGGTTCTTGCGCAGACGCTCAGCGGGCGTCATGCGCTTCCCAAATGCCCATTCCAAGATCTGTCCAGCAGGGCTGATGTTAGCGATGGTCCAATTCCTGCACTTGCTATAGCACTCACGTTCATGATGGCCGGCCGGCTACAAGCAAATGTCGAAAGGTCTCCTCTGCTCCAAGACTACAGGTGGATTTGTGTGATCAATCCCCCGGGCGGAAATTCCTCGAGAGTCGTCGAATATACGGTTCCTTATTCAGTTGCCTGGAGGGGAAAACTATACGGTCGGGAGAGATACGTAACGGCCACTGACCTCACCCATTGGAGTCGGGTAGCCTTGGCGGCGCTGTAATCCGTGCGTCTGGGCGTCTACTGTGGAAGGTGCATGGTTGCTGGCACGTGAACCTCTCTACTGCGGGACTGGCCGGCCAGCATTCCTATGACTAAGCAGCGGGCCACTGACGGTAAGGTCGCTAGTGCACTGTAGCACTGTAGCACTGCAGCCAGCACTGGTAGCACTGTACCTAGGTAGCTCCAAGCGTCAATGAATGGGGAAATTTGCCGCTCCCCAAGAAATCATGCGGCAAGGAAGGTGACGGAACAAAAATAATCGCGACGTACGACATCCTCCACCTCCATCACATCCCTTCCGCCAACCCTTCACCTTCCCTCCGTTCAACAGGCAGATGGATCTACACGCCCGAAAATGAGTCAAGACTATTTCTCGAGCAAGGGGAAATCCCCTGAGGGGCCGCTGGAGGAGGACCAGCCTTCAAGCTCAGATGACGTCGCGAAACAACAACCCCGAGCGGCTCCCGCCACGATCTCCAACACCACCGCCCGAGCTCCGACCTTCATGACCGTCGGCACCGGTGAGTCTGCGCACGCAGCTCATCTCCGAGCGCTCATCGACACTGACTCTGGGTATGGAGGGAGCACGGCCGGCGAGGAAGTAAGCGCCTCGACTCTCGTCCCTGGCTCTCCCGCCTGGGACTCTGCTCTACAGGAAGACAGACCAATGCATTCGCAGTCCTCTCACTCCCACGCGCGCGTCGACGCAGACCACCGCATGCAGCCCGGCGCCATCCACCAGCTATGGTACAACCAGCACCGAGTGGCCCTCAACCGCTCGATCAATAAAGTCATTGAGCTGCTTAAAGGACTGCAAGAGATGAACGTCACCTGGCCGGCCCATTATCCCTCCGTCCAGAGAGCCGACACACAACGACCTCCCTCGCGACCCGGCTTTCAGCATACGCAGTCTATCGCTGCCGAAGCACACTCGTCCTCTCCCTCCTCCCCGACTGCTCCTGTGAGACCGCTACGACGTGCGATGACATCCCTCGAAGACCACCACGAAGCAGAGTCAAGCCAGGCTGCGGAGAAGCGCACAGCTGCTGCCGAACCTCGCCTCGTGACGCCTCAGATTGCTCAGGAATTCTCAATTTTGAAGTTAGATTTGAAGCTTGGGTCATTGCACCAGACCGAACTGGTTCATTCGCTGGAAAAGGGATCGATTGCATCGCTGCTGGATGGCAAGATCAGTTCCAGCATCAAGCACCTACTCTCGCTGCGTGAGCGTATCGAAGACACATCAAGCAAGGTTCTGATTACCGGAGATTTGAACGCCGGCAAGTCCACATTTTGCAATGCCCTTCTAAGGAGAAAGGTTCTACCCGAGGATCAGCAACCTTGCACCAGCATTTTCTGTGAGGTTCTCGATGCGGGAGAGAACGGTGGGATCGAGGAGGTGCATGCGGTTCATAAAGACTCCGTCTACAACCGTAACGACGAGACAACATACGATGTCTTTTCCCTGCAAGAGCTCGAGAAGATCGTCTTGGACAACTCGACTTACATGCAGTGCAAAGTCTATGTAAAGGACGTTCGAACAATTGACGAGTCACTGCTCAACAATGGCGTGGTCGATATTGCTCTGATTGATGCTCCAGGTCTAAACTCCGATACCACAAAGACGACAGCTGTCTTTGCTCGACAGGAGGAAATCGACGTTGTCGTATTTGTGGTATCTGCAGCGAACCATTTCACCATGACCGCCAAGGAGTTTCTCTGGGCAGCTGCCGCGGAAAAGGCATACCTATTCATCGTTGTAAATGGTTTCGACAACATCAGAGATAAGGAACGGTGCGAGAAGATGATCCTAGAGCAAGTTCACGGTCTAAGTCCCCGAACTTTCAAAGAATCATCTGAGCTTGTTCATTTCGTGTCAAGCAATGCTGTCCCTACGGCCCCGCCACCCGGCGGTCCAGGAGGAAATGGCAGCGGCTCTTCGAGTGGAGGCGGTGGCGGCGATGATCCGAGCGGTGATCCGAAAGGCAAGGGGAAAGACAAGGAAAAGCTCCAAGACTTCGAGAAGCTAGAGCAGTCATTACGACGATTTGTCCTTGAGAAGCGAGCCCATTCAAAGCTCGCTCCCGCCAAGACATACTTGCTGAATATCCTGAACGACGTCAATGTTCTCGCCACGGTCAACTCTGAGGTTGCTCAATCGGAGATCAAGCGCGTCACAAGGGAGCTCAAGGAGATTGAGCCTCAATTGGAGTCGAGCAAGAAAGTGCAGAATGAGATCAAAGACGAGATTGACCAGACAATCGAAGAGACTTGCAAGGATGTCTATGATTATACCCGTTCAACCCTGAATTCCGCCATTGCTCACGCAGGTGATGATACTCAGGGCGTCATATATCCTGGGCTTTTCAACGCCTTTGAGTATGCAGAAGAACTGAAGGAGGCAATGCTGTCTCAAATCCAGGCCTCCGTTGTGCAGTGCGAGGACCACGCTCGCACGAAGACCGTCAGTGGTGTCAACGCTATCAAGCAATTGGGCATCCTTCACCTCGGCAACGAGTACAGTGATCTCAGCTTCCGACCTGATGTGATGTTCCGCCGCAAGCGTGACGTCCTAGCCAAACAGATTGACATTCCGACGGAACTCTGGGACTTTGTCGACTGGTCAACTCTCCTCCAAGAACAGGAGAAGGTTGCCGGTACAGGCATGGCTCTCACCGTCGCCACGGCCGTTGTGCCACGCCTTATAGGAGGCTACGGCTGGGCGGATCACGCATTGAGCGCTGCCCGTGTGCTCGGCAACGACAACCTTCGCCGACTGATCGTGCCTGGCATCATCCTCGCTGCCATTGCTGCCTCCGCATATGTCCTCAACCAGATCCCCAGGTCTCTCCCTCAGCGTCTCTCCACCAAGATCTCCACTCAGCTCACATCCATCGACTACGTACACGCCAACTCCACGCGGATAGCCGGCTCCGTGCGCAAGGTCCTGCGCTACCCAGCAGATTCTCTCCGCGTCGGCTTCCAGCGCTCGGTCGAGGAGCTCGGCTCCCGGCGCGAGGAGACCCTGCGTGTCAAGGCCGAGAGTGATGTCGCCCTGAAGTACTTCGGCAACCTGGTACGAGCCAGCGCCGAGCACCGCACCAAGGTCGAGTCGATTGACCTCGACCACAACCCCCAGGGCATCGCTCAGTAAGCGAGGAAAGAAGAGCACGAGAAAGAGAAGAAAACAAGCAATGATTGATGGCATACATGTTAGGCGTTCCTACCGGTTTGAACAGAGTTTTATCAATGAAACGAGGACCTCCTCTCTCCTACTTTCGAATTGAGTTTGATTGAGTGTGTACAAACAGACAAGCCCCTTCTACGATATCTGATCCAAGGAGTGGATACGTAGACAAAACGAGGAAAAAGAAAACGAAATCGAAGGCTTGCAATATCCCGCCTAGGCTTGAAGGGGGCTACCACTCTCACTTTTCGTCTGCTATTCCCTAGAACCCCCCTTAGTCTTCACCTGTGTATGTTTCTTGGGGTGTTGAAGTACATAGATGAATATCAAACTGGATCGATCCGACACATGGACTTTGTGATAGATATCGTACTTACTTGTCCCCGACTGCTACATAGTTGAGATGATTTTCTTCTTACTGAGCTGTAGTTTTCCCTGTTCATTATTCACCATCTACCTCCAGCCTCTAGCCAATGCTTTCGCCACGCCAGTACGTCCCATCCTTGACAGAGCAAGGCCTACTTGCCACGGCATAATAACTGACATCAAAACACGTAAGCGATGGAGTGTTCAAGATGTTAAAGATTAAGCGTATCGTTCATTGACCGTCCTTCCAGCTGGCCACCAGCCGAAGTTTCTATATGCAGATACATAAGAGAGATCGTGTGATAGATACCCACACGACCCGTGAGAGATGAGAGAGTCCAAGAGTGTTCTGTCAAGGTTTGATCCCCTCCCGCCCGGTTTCATACTATAACTACAAGAAATGTCGGTTCAGAAAAAGAGTCGTCCAGTGTGCTGAGACGACGCCTACAACTGAACCATAATACAAGAGGCAGCAGACCACATCCCCTAATCAAGTCGGAGACTGCTGGCATGCGTCATGGGAGATGTGTCGAAAACGACTGTGTGATATACAGACGAGCCACGGACTCCTTTCAAACCGAGCATCCACCGCCCCGAGTCTACAGAGCCGGCCTCGCCGCCGCAGCGCCGCCCTCGCGACCCAGCGCCTGGCCGACCCTCTCGGCGGTCGCCGGCTCGCCCTCGCGCCCGCCGCCGCCGCCGCCCGTCAAGACATCGCCGCCCATCTCGCGCATGCGCACCTCCTGCTCCATGGCGATCATGTTCTGCTCCTCGGCCCAGGCCAACGCCCACGGCACGCCGATCAGCAGCGCGCTCACGCTGACCGTCCACAGCGAGCGGCCCGCGAACAGCGCCACCGTCTTGACGATCCGCTGCGTCGTCTGCACCTTGCCCCAGATCCAGCCGCGCGCCGTCGGCGGCACAATGTCGCGCAGGGCGTACAGGCGCTCCGCGAGCGTCTCGTGCGACGGGTCGTAGTCGGACTCGTTGGAGATCTCGGAGTCTGGGAGGGTAGGATGTTAGTGATGTGTTTGCTTGTGAAGGTGTGATGCAGTAGAGAAGCAGAGAAGACGTCGAGGAGGAAGAGCAAGAGCTCTGCTGCCTGCACTTGTTCTGCTCGAAGTGCCGGGCCAGGCGATAGCAAACCCTAGATGATCCACGTACCAGTATCAGTGTAGTCGCCCTCGTCCTCATCAGCACCAGCCTGGCGCTGCTGGAAGTGCTCGTCCTCGACCTCGACGAGTTGGACCATCTTATCTCGTGCCCGAAGGTGTCCGAAGAATATGTGTGATTCCGGAGATCTCTTGGATCTAATTGCTCTGAATTTACAAAGCAACTACAACCAGGCCGCCTCTCTGGAGATTTATTTGCAGGATTGGCTCTGGTGTGGATGACAGGTGAAAGGTGATGGATGGAGAAGGCGTTGATGTCGTAGAGTAAAGGTTCGAGGTGCAAGCCGGAAGCTGCATACTAGAAATTTGTCGGCATGATGAGATAGGCTAGCCAATTAGAGCGACGAGCTTTCACAAGCTCCTCTTTTTCTTCCTGGGCCAAGAGTTGCTCCTGGGGCCCGTGCGCCTTGACATAGATTTCCCCTGTTGTCCCCTTTCTAATGTTTGTAATTTTCTATGTGAAATAGCTGGACTAGGCACTCGGAAACATTTCACATTGCATTACAAGTGTGAATCTCCTCTGAAATAATCAATAATCTTACAAACTAAGCATTATCATAAGTCTCTGTAGCTCAACAAAGAGTACTGCCTCGTAATCTTCGAACCACCCCCAATGCCATCCATTCTTTCATTCCATGCTCTGTAACCATACAATAAACGATGCTACGCTTATGCCATCATGCAGTGTTGTTTCCTCTATCGGTTCCCACCCGTACGTGTGTATGCTATTACTCTTCAAGTCTATAATTTCGTCTCATCTCGTCTCATCTTATTTGCGGCCACGCTCTGGCTCCGCAAATCGAATCCCCCTCCGGGCGGGCGGCACGCGAGGCGTGTCATCGTCGTCACTATCACTGTCGTGACCGCCTCCCGAGACGCCGAGCGCGGCCTCTCTGCGTCGTCGCTCGGCGGGCGTCTCGTTGGTCTCGTCGCGGTTGTCGTCACCCTCCACGCTGTCGAGCACCGCGAGCCTCCTGCGGCGCTCGACGGCCGTCTCGGGCTCATCCTGGCTCGGCTCATCATCACTAGGGCTCCGGCCAGGTGACACCTCGGGGGAGATCGAAGGAGATTTGCGCCGCGGGGCTCGTCCGGGCCGCGCGCTTGAGCTCGATCCGCTCTCCTCGTCGTCTTGTCCGTCAAGACGTATGGCGGGCTTGGGGGCGGTGATATGCTTCGCGCCAGTGGCTCGAGATGGCGAGGACGAGGCAGCGCTAGGGGCAGGGTCCTGCTTCGCAAGGGTCTTGACGCGGTTAGAGGCAGTCGACTGGTCGACGACCTCCTTCCTGGTGCCCTTGTCGAGTTTTTGCATCTCCCTGATGAAGTCCTCCTTGGTCATGCGCTGGTTGACTCCGCTGATGGTGAAGCGGATCTGCTTGTCGTCCTGCGCCGCAGCCTCCTCGACCACGCTCTTCTTCCGCTCCCGCTCGGCGGCACCCTCTCCGGTCCGTCCAAAGCCCGCCCAGTTCAGGCCGCCCTTAGCAGCTGCCTTCCATGCCTCAGCTTCGCCGCCGTCCTTTGATGAGCCGCCCTCTTTTTCTTTCTCCTTTTGCTGGTTTTTGACAAGACCGCCCATGCCCATGTACTTCAGACTAG